CTGCTCCATGACGAAGGCGGTCGCCCAAATAGGTTGAAAAGCATGCAAGGTGACGCGCACGCGGCGTGAGTGCAATTGTCAACCATGTCCGTGCGGAAGACCTGTTGACCAAGCGTGTGTGCGCCCCATGGTTGACAAATGCACACGCGCCGCGTGCGCGTCAGCCTTGCTTACTTTCAACCTATTCGGGCAACCGCCTTCGTTATGGAGCAGATGTTGAAATGAATAGCTGTGCTGCACAACCTCTATGTGCGCAAGGAAGAAAGTTTGTTTACAGTATTATTTCAGCGAAGCCATTAGATCTCAACAAGAAACGGTGCATCATTTTTCCACAAGAGTTGCATTGATAGAGATTTCTACGTTCCAAAAATCGGACTTGCCCCTAGTTCAGTATTTGGAAGTGTACGATCAAACTTACTCGTTGATGGAACGTCCCGATTCTCTGAGCTTGTGTAGCTGCTCAAGACGATAAAAGACGTTGTAAACGTCTCTAGTACGACGTGGTTCTTCCTCAATTTTTGAGGCAAGAAGCAAACAAGCCATGACTGTATGCTACAAGGAGTTCTCTTGGTTACGATCTGTAACAATCGGCTTGATCTTACCTCATAGCGAAACTTCAAAAAGCTTTTCAAATAGTAAAATCTCTGGAACAATATTTGCCCAGTTGCGGCGGCCACCTGAGGAAGCTTCAACATGACAGCTCCTTCTTGTATAAGGGTACAGCCAAAGAAGCGAAGGTTCTGAAATCAAAAGGTATTCTTGGCAGCAGCTTTGGTCGCAAACAACTTGAATATTATAGCTTCACAAAATTTTTGCGCACTTTATGCTCAAGTTTAGTCGAGGAAGTGAAATAGGCGTTATATCTCGATACGGAACTCAGAAGAAAATTATCTTCCTTTCAAAAATCGAGAGCAATATAGTCTTGAGAAAACATACCTTTTCCGTATCTCGATCCATGCCGTCGGCTAAAGATGGTGGATCTTGGAGGTTTAGTCGAGCTTTCTCATCCATGGTTTGGTACCACTTATCACAGTTGATGTTAACCCTAAAACTGGCTACCATAAATGGTAATGTTGAAAAACAACTTTTGAAAAGTACGAGCACTGCCATTTATATAACAGTCACCGAATGTTTAGTTATAATAAGACGAAATAAGAGTTACGTTGAAAAGTGGGCACGAAGTCCAAAAGAGCTTGGCCGTATTGGGTTGTTCTCATCTCCAGCATTTTCGGCGTTCTCTCCACCATTTTCTGAATTCTCTGGAGCGGGATCAGGCTAAAATAAAAAGAACGACATAAAACAAAGAACATTACATTAGAAAATTGAAAAGATGTGGGGACTGAGCATTAAAGTGTATCATTTAAGATGCGATTAGTATAGTAAAGTGCGAAGCCCTGAAGCAATCCAA